ATAATAAAATAATAGTCAGTGCAAAGTAGCCTACAAATTCTTTGGTGGGGGGCAGTGAGGGACCTGGATAAAGGCTAGAGGGGCACTGGCCTAACAGGGGTTGAGAAAAAGTGTTTTAGAAACTGTACAGTACTCACTATTTAGATGCAGAGAGACTCCTATTATTGCAACCCAGAAAAGGAATTAGAACGAACTTACAATCCAGAAAAAATTCTTCCAGAACAGGAACATTTAGTTTTTATTATTACTTAGAAATTGTGGAATACTCATTACTTTTACAAATTTAGAGCATACTTAGAAAGTCCAGAGAATACTTAAACTTACCTAGCATCCCAGAAGTCCAGAGATTACTTACTTACACTTATTTAGCAACCCAGAACCTAGAATCCAGAAAAACTACCTTAGCAACTACTTTAGACCCCTATTCTTCCAACCAAGAAAAGGAATTAGACCAGAGGATACCTACTTATCTACCAACCATGAACAGGGGTATCTAGTTTATTTACTTTGGATCAACATTATTAGCTTTTTCTTCTTTTCCTCTTTCTTTTGGTTTGTTATTTTGTTTGTATTTCCTTTTAAGTCCTGCAAAGCATTTTGTATTGCCTTGTTGCTGAAAATGTGCTTTATAAATAAAATTACTTTTACCATTAAAAAGAACTATGAATAAATAGAACTATTGAATTCTAAAATTCACAAAGGTGCAATTTTATCAGTGATAGGAAATTTTATTTTCATTCTCTGTTTTTGTAAGGTTCTCAGTTTAGTCAAATTTGATTTTTGTGTTTATGCAAATATTTTTTCCAGGTGGTTTTATTTATAAAATCTGCTCTAATTTCTGTCAGAAAATATTGTTCAATAGAAATTCATACTATTCGCTTAGTCTTACATAAAAGAATGGCATGGGGAAAAACTGTTAATAATTAACTAAGTGTTAAACTTGGCAAGATGTTTATGAATGTGTTTTTTGGGCATTTATCAACAAATCCTCAATTCACTTAGATCTGAAATAACTGTGTGTGAGGTTATCGCACTCATAAGTCACATAAACCAGACAATGTCCCCATATATTGCATAAAAATTACCAAAATGTAGGCATAGCTAAAAATTCAATAGATTAATGTTTTGCTGGAAGCAATACACAAAAAGCATTTGATTCTCAGGCCTCTAGAATCTTTGGAAAGTCACATACCCATTTGTTCCATTTTTGACATGCATCCTAATAGTTCATAAAACACTATGTGTGTGTGTGTGTGTGGTCAGGCAGAGCAGTATATATCATCATTTAATAATGGCACAGGTGCTGGAACATGTACAGTCGACAAAGATGAATGGGGTTCTTAAATCCCAGAATCTGCTGCTGTGTGACGCCTCTGTCTCTGTCTTTTTCTTCCTACATGATATTGGAGTCTACAGTTAGTGAGCTGAAGCATCTGGGGTCCACTGGGGCCAGCAAAGAAAAGAGCTGAGCTATAGGGGCCAAGTCTTTGATTTTGCTGTCATGGCTGCTTATAGTGATTAATGTCTGGACTTTGGGGCCACTCTGTGTAATTATGGGACCTACAAGCTCTCATTTCTCTAATACTGTGAATTTAAATCTTTGGAAATAAAAGACAGACATTTTATCCTATGTAAGGAGAAAAACATGTAGTCTGCTGTTTAACAGGTGACTACATTTGAACAGCCAACAACCAAAATGGATTACAGAATGTTATCAGAGTGTTGCTCCATTCTGTCCTAAGATTTCTGCTTCTGTTTGCTTTTTTACCTGTTTTGTTTGATCATTAGATTTTTGAATGCTTTAAAGGAAGAGGACTGATTAAAATTAACAGCAGAGCAATGGGTTTCAGCTAGGCAATGACAACCTTTATTCCCCTGGAATGTGAAGGGCCCTCTCACGCCCTTCACATTGATTGTAAGAATGACTGCTACTGGAGATACTTGATTTATGTTTTTCCTCTAGTATTCTGCATTCATCAGAGGAAGGAGGGGTATTAGTAGAATATTAGTATTAGATTACATTTAGCAGAACTTATTGTCCTCCAGCTCTACTAAGCTATTGGCTTCTCTCAACATCTTTGACACAGACTCCCTCAGCACACAGTGCTTGGATCTTGTTGTTGACCAATAGGAGAGAAGCTTCCCTACTCCTCACCCTCCTCCCATTACCTTCATTACTTTACCTGACTGAAACTTTGCCCACTTGGCTCCTTTCCCTTCCCTTTTCTTTTTTTAACTCATATAAAGAGTCAAAAGGAAACAGAAAAGAACACAATAGCAACAAAAAAATTAAAGACTTTATTCTCTAACTCATTGAGAATTGATGAAAATAAAATCAATAATTAATAATCATAATGAAATTGGTATTGCAAAGTTTTTAGGAATTCCTATCCCTATTTATGACTCTTATAAGTTACTAATTTTAAGACAGATGAGTATATGTGATTCTCATATTCATGTGTTCTTTGTGACAGGATGAGCTGGATGATACTGCCCAGGTTTGGAATGCACACTCCATCAGGCCATCAAACAACAGAAATGTCCCCAGTGGTCGACCCAATGTGATGTATGCATTACCTGAGCTCTACAGGACAAGAGACTTTCTTTGCCTTGTTGAAGAGGAACATGTTGAAGTATGCAAAAATGAGTGCATTTCTCGACTGACCAAACCATGTGATCCAGATGTCTTTGACCTCTGCAACATCCTTATGGCAGAGTCCCATCTGACCTTACCCACAGACGCTTACCAGGCTTTGAACTTGTATATGCATCTAAGAGAGGCAATCATTGCATCACTTTAAAATGTGCTGACTGCAAGCAAGAACATTTTTCAGCACCTTTACAAGCCCACTTAGAATGGCATGCAGATGTAAACAAACTGTGTTTCTTTTCTTTCAAAAGTATTTCATTATGTTCTCTAGAAGGGACAATGAAGAAATATATTAGTTAATTTGAATTTCATGAACTGTCAGTTTATTCAACTGCTTCCAACCATTTTCTAAATATGCAATATCTGTTTCAGATCAAAATAAACTGTGAAAGCAAATACTTACTTGTCAAACAAAGATAAACATAAAAGGAAAAGAAGGGTATTTAGTATAAATAATATTTATCTGAAAATGTAATTCTGTGATCAAAACAAAATGCTTCTTTTAAGTGATAAACTCTGTCCTGCCATTCTATTTTTAAAATAAATGTTGCATTAATTAACTTTTTAAAATTTGAAATGCTATAAAGAAAGGAAAAGTATTTGAAACAATCAACATGATACAAAGCAAAATGCATATTTCTTGCCTCTGAAGTTAATAAGGGTTGTAAACACAATTATGAACTTTTTAAAAAATCTGTAAAAACATCTAAAAGCTTAAACAGTAAACCTTACTGAAAGAACAAACTCTGCTTAAAGCAACATTGCACAGAGGCTACATCAACAGATCTGTCTTGTAGTACAGCATCTTGAAAGAAAATGAGAACACATTTCTGTTTAATTACAAAAAAAGGGGTTAGAATATGATAAAATCAAAGGAGCACTTCTTCATACATTGAAAAACAAAATCTTAACAAGTAATTCTGGTCTAGTTTCTAGTGAAAATATCCTATTACACTTAAAATAAGACAAATTAACTTAAAAGTAACTTTTCAGCAACACATAGTTTTAAGTAAGTAATTCTTTAATATTGATGAGAAAGTACTTGCTCTATTGGCAGATAAATTAACTTATAGGAAAAATATCTTGTTATAAGTTAAATAATCTTCCAATATAAACAGTACTTTTTGATCAATATTAAGGAATTATTTACTTAAAACAAGATCTTAAAATCTTGCGGAAAAGTAATTTTTACATTAATTTGTATTATTCACAAGGTATCTTTGAAAATAAATACAATTGAAATGTAAAGTAACAAAAACATACAGCCAAACCATGAAAACATAAAATCAATTGCTATATGACTGAATGCATTAAATATTTAAATATGAAATTTAGAAAAAAAAAACTGCATTCAAAATTTCCAACCAAAACAAAAAGGTGCTGTAAATACCTCCCATCAACTTCAAATTATGTCCATTTCAAAGTAATTACTGAAGAGGATGTTGTCGAACTCTGTGCGAAAGTCTGGGTAAGAACTATAAGTGCAAGGAAGTTCTAGGGTCGCTCCACAGGTGCGAGCAACAGGCCTTCTGTTAAGCCCGGTTTCAGTGTTGAAACAAATGAGAATTTTGTCAACACAGATTACAGAAGAGCCGGTGCAGAAACGCAGTATTTTTTCGGCCTTGTCTTCATCAGCATTTTTTACAAAACGTTGAAGGTGGTTAAAGGTTGTCTGTTCTCTCTGGGACAGTGTCACATTTGCTGATTCAAACAGCTGTAACAGTCTTTTACCTGAGGCCTTCTTTTTTTCATACAAAGACAACAGACTTTTCTTGTCAGCAAGTTCCACTTGTACACATGCCATGGATGTGGAGAAGCAATCCAATATATACTTTGGCTCTTGAAGAATTGCCTTGTGAGCCATGGTTTCAATGGCCTGCTGAATGTTCTCATTGGGAGGCAGGAAGTGGGACCCCATCCTTGTGAAGAGGTCTAGCAAGTCCTCTTCATCACCTTGATCCATGGTGCTCTGTAGAGCCTTCTCAACAGCTGATCTCTCTACTAGAGGGAGGTAGTTGAGAAATGATGGGATCACTACATCATCATCCACTGATTCAATTCCATGAACACAAGCTAAAATGAAAGCTTTCGATAGCCTCACTGGAATGACTCCATGGTCTAGAAATCCTTTGACCCAAATGTGTCCAATGGCTTGCCATTCAGACTCACAAAAGTCAGGCCTCAACCTGGGAACTCGTTCTGTTTCACCCTTACACTGTTCCAAAAACTGCTCCCAAAATGCAGTGTAAACCTCCCTTGATACCCCAGCATCATCGATTGCTCTTTCATTCACAAACTCCATTTTTAAAGTCTGATTCAAAATGTTGTTTTCCATAAACACAGCCAAAAGATCTTCCACAACCTTGTTCCTGCGAATTGACACATGTAGATGGTTTGCTAGATTTTCTGAGTTACCAGCTGAAACAGATTGGGGCAGTAGACTGCTTGAACTTGGGCGCCGATTTATGTTTTCGCATCCACCTGAATAATGTGCAGTTGCGCCACTGGACAAAGTTGTACAGTATTGTAATATATAAAGTTATGTTTGATTACAGCACACAACACAAGTGTTAAACTATTCATACCTTGGCCTTAAGATAGATATTTATTTCACAGTTGATTAAAAATACATCACAAAAAAACTATGTAAATTCTACCAAATAATATGTTACTATTTTACCTCAATTCAAATGTCACATATCACTTCTATAAGTATCTAAATCGTATCACGCCAAAGCGTTTCTGATCTTACCTGTACAACTTCTTCAGTGTTGTCATAATTTTGTATTACAACGACTATGTCACTGTCATCATCCAATCCAGGTCCTCTTCAGGATTCCATACAACCGTGTCTCCCTCATCCATGTGTGGAACAGATCCAGAATTTTCAGAGCTGAAGGGCTGGGGCTGCCGAGGTGTGGATCCAGAATGAGGTGGATCTGTGAAATCAACAACTCCAGAACGGTTGTAGGTAGAGTCTAGGTGATTCAAAGTTTGATCATCACAATCACTTAAATCCTCCATTTCACCAAAAGATCCTTTTCTAGCTGTTGGGGTTGAATCCATGTCATTTGGTTGTTCAGGACTTTAACAATCTTCTTCAGATGAATACTGAACTGTTTCTTCTTTCTTTGTGCAAATGTAAAACCTTAGAAGCTTCAGCTTGTTTTTTTCATAAAGATTTCCGACTGTTTCATCTAAAGAAATCCGATTTTTTTGGAAGTCACAAACTTCAAAAAGAAAGTCTTCAATTACCCCTTTGGTGGAGGTCCCATTTGGAAAAAAAAGCTCATTTCGCATTTCAAGAATTTCAGAAACAGTTGTACTTTTATCCACTGTTGCATGCCTCGTTCCTCCACCATTTCTTGTTCTCACTTGTTGGTATTCATCAATGTGAAAATGAAGCCACCCAATTTCAATTTTTCTCGAAGTCCTCCCTGCTGACTTACTTCTTTCTCTTGCCATCTCCACCCCTTGCATTTGGAACAAACCAGATGTGCTACAAACAGCTCTTTTGGTCCTAGATCTCATTTTCCGTGCTCCAATTTTATCTCTTAAGTTCTGGAGAAGAGTATCTTTTTCTGCAATAAGTGTACTTTGCTGACAAAAAGACAGAACTGCTATTCTGTCACCATATGAAGTGATGTAATTGGTCATCTGTTCGTCTGTCATTATAGACAGCACAGCCTTGTCCACCTGGAGACATAAAAAAATAATTAGAATAAAGACATCCACATCTTTATATATATATATATATATATAGTAATAGTTGTATTTCAGAAAGCCATGCGAAGACTTCTTGTGTAGCACTATCGCTGCTAGTTATGGGTCGCATAATTTGTTGTGCCGTTGCCATAGTAACCCCCTTTTTTGAAGATAAATTGCAGAATGTGTCGTCAAACTTTAACAGATAAAACAAGTTTTTCTTGATAAAATACAAAGCGGTTCTTACCTAAGGCTATCAAACGTAGTTTTTCACTGAGCGGATATTTATCAAACAATGTTTTATGCGATTATATTTACCTTGTCTCTTTGCATGTGCATGATATCCTCCTCTGGGACATCTCTGGACCGCAGAAAATGATATAAGTCGTCCTCCATAATCAATGTAGACACACTCCCCCACGTTTACCGCATAAAAACATGCCTTTCCCCCCAAAAAAAGTAACTCGCGATTTTTCAGAAATGTCGCGGGATCTCGAGATAATAAGTCGGGATAATAAGTCGGGATCTCGAGATAATAAGTCGGGATCTCGAGATAATAAGTCGGGATCTCGAGATAATAAGTCGGGATCTNTAGAAATCCTTTGACCCAAATGTGTCCAATGGCTTGCCATTCAGACTCACAAAAGTCAGGCCTCAACCTGGGAACTCGCTCTGTTTCACCCTCACACTGTTCCAAAAACTGCTCCCAAAATGCAGTGTAAACCTCCCTTGATACCCCAGCATCATCGATTGCTCTTTCATTCACAAACTCCATTTTTAAAGTCTGATTCCAAAGGTTGTTTTCCATAAACACAGCCAAAAGATCTTCCACAACCTTGATCCTGCGAATTGACACATGTAGATGGTTTGCTAGATTTTCTGAGTTACCAGCTGAAACAGATTGGGGCAGTAGACCGCTTGAACTTGGGTGAGAATCTTCGGGTGGAATCAAGCCAGAGTCCTGGGTAAAAGATAAAGCAATAACCATTATTAACAACACAGATACAAATATAAGATTTCTACAAACAGATTGGACATTTGTTTGTTAATATTCTCTTCATTACTATGTTATGATTACCAAGCTAATTTGTAGAACTTTGGAAGATCTGGTGGAACACTAACCCTTCTGCTTAATCCATACTTTAATACTTTCATATGATTTTTTTTAATTAAATAGAAAATACCAATTCAATTAAATGAAAAATATATATTCAATTCAATAAAAAAATATGTATTCAATTCAAAAGATGTAATAATTGCATGACCTTTAAAAAAAAGGTGGTACTGAGTTGTTCATTACAGAGGAGAAAATGAGCTCTGGGTTGTATTGACTGTGTCCATTTCACCTGGCCAGTTTGTCCTGCCTCCATATTACTGGTTTGCATTTGTGATGAGAAGAGACTCCTGGCTGACGGCAACAGTATCGGGGAACCGTGTCCAAAGGGACTGCTGAGATCGTCCTGAATGACAAAGTTGTACAGTATTGTAATATATAAAGTTATGTTTGATTACAGCACACAACACAAGTGTTAAACTATTCATACCTTTGCCTTAAGATAGATATTTATTTCACAGTTGATTAAAAATACATCACAAAAAAACTATGTAAATTCTACCAAATAATATGTTACTATTTTACCTCAATTCAAATGTCACATATCACTTCTATAAGTATCTAAATCGTATCACGCCAAAGTGTTTCTGATCTTACCTGTACAACTTCTTCAGTGTTGTCATAATTTAGTGTTACAACGACTATGTCACTGTCATCATCCAATCCAATTAGGTCCTCTTCAGGATTCCATACAACCGTGTCTCCCTCATCCATGTGTGGAACAGATCCAGAATTTTCAGAGCTGAAGGGCTGGGGCTGCCGAGGTGTGGATCCAGAATGAGGTGGATCTGTAAAATCAACAACTCCAGAATGGTTGTAGGAAGAGTCTAGGTGATTCAAAGTTTGATCATCACAATCACTTAAATCCTCCATTTCACCAAAAGATCCTTTTCTAGCTGTTGGGGTTGAATCCATGTCATTTGGTTGTTCAGGACTTTAACAATCTTCTTCAGATGAATACTGAACTGTTTCTTCTTTCTTTGTGCAAATGTAAAACCTTAGAAGCTTCAGCTTGTTTTTTTCATAAAGATTTCCGACTGTTTCATCTAAAGAAATCCGATTTTTTTGGAAGTCACAAACTTCAAAAAGAAAGTCTTCAATTACCCCTTTGGTGGAGGTCCCATTTGGAAAAAAAAGCTCATTTCGCATTTCAAGAATTTCAGAAACAGTTGTACTTTTATCCACTGTTGCATGCCTCGTTCCTCCACCATTTCTTGTTCTCACTTGTTGGTATTCATCAATGTGAAAATGAAGCCACCCAATTTCAATTTTTCTCGAAGTCCTCCCTGCTGCCTTACTTCTTCCTCTTGCCATCTCCACCCCTTGCATTTGGAACAAACCAGATGTGCTACAAACAGCTCTTTTGGTCCTAGATCTCATTTTCCGTGCTCCAATTTTATCTCTTAAGTTCTGGAGAAGAGTATCTTTTTCTGCAATAAGTGTACTTTGCTGACAAAAAGACAGAACTGCTATTCTGTCACCATATGAAGTGATGTAATTGGTCATCTGTTCGTCTGTCATTATAGACAGCACAGCCTTGTCCACCTGGAGACATAAAAAATAAAAAAATAATTAGAATAAAGACATCCACATCTTTATATATATATATATATATATAGTAATAGTTGTATTTCAGAAAGCCATGCGAAGACTTCTTGTGTAGCACTATCGCTGCTAGTTATGGGTCGCATAATTTGTTGTGCCGTTGCCATAGTAACCCCCTTTTTTTGAAGACAAATTGTAGAATGTGTGGTCAAACTTTAACAGATAAAACAAGTTTTTCTTGATAAAATACAAAGCGGTTCTTACCTAAGGCTATCAAACGTAGTTTTTCACTGAGCGGATATTTATCAAACAATGTTTTATGCGATTATATTTACCTTGTCTCTTTGCATGTGCATGATATCCT